AGCCAGGAATGGATGCCAGGCAACAGCACATCTGAGAAACCCTTACCAGCCACTGCTGGCAATAAAATTGTGTGAATGGCAGCTACTAAGTGACCAATCCCTTATCTTTCTGGGTCAGAGATGTGCAACAATTCAGAGCAGTGTGGGTCTCCTGAACCCCAGAAATATGGCCTGTACCATATTTGATTTCAAACTTGATCTACAATGCTTTAAAAATATAACCTTGACATTTTCAAGTCCCTCTTTAAGACGTGCAGATATGTATCCTCATTGGTGATTATTCTGAACTCTCAGGACAAAGTAGAACACTGGAAAGGAGACAAGTCCCCCCACCCATCCCACCATGTGCCTCTCTGTTGCAAGTAGCAGCTCACTAAGGTGGTACACCCTGATCTGGCAGGTGCCCTGAATGTTTTTCTCCACAACAATTTCCCAAGTCATTGAAAACTAGGATGTCAAGGAGAAAATTTAGCTGGACTCTTTTCCCAAATATTATTTTCTATGTGTAGAGAAGGGGGAAGTTTTTCAAATAATAACTAATTGGGGAGTTAGGACCATTCAGTTACATGAGCCCACACTCTTAGGGGAGGTTCAAGCAACCTGAGAAGCCATGGTGAAATCTTACTATTGTGGGGCTTTCGCTTCATCTAGACCCAATTCTGGAGGTCCTACAGGTGGGATTAGTATTCTGAAACCACAGAGGAAATCCAGTCTGTTCTAAGATTTCCACAATTCTCTGATTATCCAGCCCCAGGATTGCCATTTCAGTGTTGTTAATATGTTTGTGAGCCGCCCCGAGGCTTCAGCAAATGGGGCGGCATAGAAGTTTCCTAAATAAATAAATAAATTTGGAAACACCATAGACTCACCTGGCAAGAGCAGTGCCAGAAGTGGCCGTTTCTACTGTTCACTCTCTACTGCCCTCAGTCCTCTAGCAACAGATGAGTCATGGCTCACCTTGTTCCCACTGACTGAACAATGTGTCTGAGGGGGGAAATCACAGTGAAATAGTTTACTTTCATTTTTAAAAAATCTCAGTGGGTGCTGAAGCAGCTGGAAAGTACCACAAACATGCAGGCACTCTTGGGAGGGGGAAGGGGGAACCCGCCTCAGACTGCAGCAGACCAATCAGGTGGAGGCTGCTGCTGTCCGTCAGCAAGAAAAGGGGAAGGACAGGGATGTCACTTGCAGATGCTGCCAGGATGCATGGCAAGGCCTGGAGGGCAGAGTGGGCAGCACAATAAGTGCGCTGCCAAAGTATCTGTGTGATCATCTGACTGGTAAATTCAGGCAAAAACCTGCATACCATGGAAACAGGGTGACGCTGTTTGCTGCATCGTGTAAACCTAGGCATACTTTTAAAAGATATGGGCCAGCCAGGAGAGCTAGTAGGCTTAAAGGAAAGAGTTTGGACTGAGTGCAAAGAGTTGGGAGTCAGTGTGAGACAATTTTTAAAAAAAGCTAGATCACAAGGCATACAAGGGACAGGAAACAAATGAAAAGCCTGCTTGAGGTTAACATGTAGCAGCTGGATAGCAGGTGGGCAGATGGTGACACAGAGCAAAAAACAAGGCTGAGAAGTGCAAGACAAATTCTGAGGGCACAAACAAGCTTCAAGTTAACTGGGGCCTAAAAGCAGTTAGAAAGGCTAAAAGCCACTCAAGATTAGCACCACTGCAGTCATAACAACTAAGTATGGCCAAGGCAGGCTAGATAGGAGAAATGCTTATTTTTACAGCCTACTCCTGGTTTCTTTACCCATGCTCAAGAATAGACTGCATGAGGTCCACATTAGCCCCATGAATTGACAGCTAGTGGTTTTTCATGGACTAGCAGAAATTCAAGTTCCATAACTGTTTTGGCCAAAATGGATACAGACCTTTAGAGAATGAAATGTTGCCCACCCCCCACCCCCAATATTGCAAATTTCACATGCATACACACACGCACGCACACATGCCATAGCCTTATCAGGGCCCCTAATACACAGATGTTTAAAGACATATATCTTCCAGTACATGAAATAACCTCTTAGACTGTGAACATTATTTCCTGGAAACTGCTACAGATAAACCCAAATAATAATCTCTATGTTTTGTCTCAAAACAGATTTGCCATATATTGCACAATAGCACAAAAAGAGCGTTTACACTTCAGCTGTCCCTTCCCCTCAAAAAATCCACCATGTACCATCAGCACTATCTGAGGGCACAAAAACATTTCTACAAGGAATTGAAATTGCCAAGTCTCATACCATTCAAAATCAAAGTGGGTCCCTTGACCATTATTAGCTAGTTTTATCTGTACTGAAATGTGGCCTCCACTGCTGTTAGATTGGTTAGTAGAACAGAAGAATCGCATCATCCAATGGCCCATATGTCTGTTATCAAGAGAGAGATATTATACTGTAGTGCTGGAAATCCTTCATCCCTCATGATTTCAAAGTAAAAATCTCACAGCTGTGAGTAATACTCATATCCATTCACGCATGCGCAGCACTGCATCTGGTGCAGGATCTGAGCCTCTACAAATAGCAAAATATATCAGGAAGAGCTCTATAATTCCATGATAACTTGGTCATCTGTATTAAGCTGCTGAATGGTAAGACATCTTTATCACACCTAAGATGCACCTGAGTCATAGAATGGTTAGGCAACTAATCTCAAGATTAATTTTCATGTTGTCTGTTCTATAGCATTTTCTCTCCTCCACAGACCCTGCCATGGACTACACTCTTGCCATTGCACAAGAGGCAGAACCCCGCCCCCCCCCCAAAAACAGCAGTTGGATTATTCATGATTAACAAGCCATGAATTATTAGTGCAGCTAAGTTAAGAATATGATAACCTGTTGTGAGTGAAGCCAACCGCCACTCTTGGCAGGTTGCCCAGTGTCAACAGTGCTGGAAATCTGAAGAAAAAGGGGACCCTGAGACAGTGGACTTGTGGGTTTTCGGAATCCAGGCAGAGGCACGGACCTTTGAAGTACTCTCAAAATTGATGCCCACATGTTAATAAAGAGAGTGGAAAGGTTTTGGAAGGAATAGGATTAAAGAAGAAAAGAAGGAAGAGCTGCCGCCTTGCCTAGTCCCTGACCCCATGACAAGGCACTGGGAGAGATGAACTGCCCAGTTAGAAGGCTTGTGCCAGTCCCTCTGGCTGGCCTTTCAACAGCAGGAGCTACCCTGAAGGAAAGGGTTTTGGAGAGAAGTCTGTAGTTGGGGTTCAACAGACATTCTTAGTATGCACAGAGACTTATCTTCCAGCTTATTAGAGAAATGTTAGAGTTACTTTGTCTTATAGATGCAAAGTGCCAATAAATATCTGCTTTGCAAAGAGATTTTCTGGTATTTTGGAGCTTAGGGCAAGAAGGGGAAGGCCAAGCTCACAACATAACCCATGGTTCAACCACAAACAACCCACAAAGAGAACCTGGTCCCACCAGCTGGGTTTGTTGTTGAACCGGATACTGGAATTGCATGTTGTTCATGGTTGGTTGTCTTGACTAGGTTCAGACATATTGTCAACCCAGTGTTCAATCCACACTCAATCCATATGCAGCCCTTGAGTATGGGTCATCAGGCTGTGTGAACCCAGACACAAAGACTTACTTAGCAAGCCCCCATAATTTGCTCCAGGGATAATGGGAGCAGCAGGGGTCACACATCACCTGTGGGCCACTTGTTGGCCATCCCTCCAGTGGGTTGTGTTGGTCAGTGATTCAGGAACCTCGGGTAACCACAGCACTGGGCAAAGCTTCCTCTCTTCAGCAATTCTATGTCTACCATCCTCCAACCTCCAGGATTTGCTGCTGTCCTTCTGCCTTTTGCTAGCTCTTCACATTCCACCCAGTTTTAACGGCAAGGACTGCCAGCACATGACACAATATTTATTGTGCTAGAGAGGATGGCTTTTTTGGGAAAAAAGAGGAACAGCAGATCTTGTAGCCACATCCTCTTTTGACACGTCCCACCCTCTCAGTTAGATTGTGATACATACCAATGAGGGAGGGGCTAGTCCTAAGTCTACCGTGATTTGTATTCACTCCTTCTTTCCCCACCTGGCTCTTCCCCTGGAATTATCCTGCCTCACCACATAGCAAATGCAATTACTAAAGAACAATTTAGCACTGTTTTTTAAAAATTGGTATATTAAAACACCCTGGCAGGTGTATTCCCACCTTCAACTCAGAATGGGTAGCAGATATGCTGTATAAGAGTAAGCTGTGTTTATTCAAATCAAGTTATGCACTGGTCTCAAGACACTACAGACAAACAAGATCTAACACATACAGCTAATAAAAGGCTGTTACGCATTCATCCTGTTATCCACAGACACATTCAGCCTGGCACCTTTCATGGCAGGCCTAGAAATTGTGTTCCCTTGCAATCCATCCACACTAGGTCAACTGCCCTAAATTCTGCATCTATAGGGCAAGTCTGGCATTGCAGCTAGAATGTAGAAATTGAGAGTAACAGTTCATAGCTCTCCTTTTCAACAAGGATTCCATGCAAATTTGTTCTTTCTGAAAAGGTGCAGGTCAAGAGTCCATAGAGATGCTATGAACAGTAACATGTAATTTCTAAATACATACTCAAAACATGCTTCCACCTGACTTCATTACTCTACACTCTTAGAAACAAAGCTAGCCTGTCTCTGGATTTGTTCTCTGTAATAAATCCAGGAGAATCTTTGTGAAATGAATGCAATATTTTAGACCTTCTATCAGATCTGGTGCCCTTCAGGTGTGTCAGACTACCCATCAGTCTCAGCAAGCATGTATGAACCCAGAGTTGGTTTGCCAAGCTGCAGAAGAAGTGGCCCAAAGTGGCCAGGCTCAACCTGCAGGGCTGAAAAAGCACCGGATAAAGAAAGGGAGCACATGAAGGAGAAGGGAAGCAGACCACCTGAAGAATGAGAAACCCTTTTTTTCCGTTGTTTGTCAGACAAATCCTAGCTAGCACAACAAATCATTGTTTAAATAAAACATGGGTTACATACCAGACACTTCTGCTTGGAGTCCATGGTTGCTCAGTGCACAGTGCATACCCAGAAGAGTGCAAATACCACTCCGTGAGAGGTCCTCTTTGAGATAATGTACGAATCTCAGGTAGTGTACTGTAGTGACACCATCTGTAGAAACAAAAGGGGATAACAGTCATGGCATCTTTCACACACTTTCAGGAAGGTTCTGTGGTGGATCTAAAATCCAAACAGACCTAAGCAGGTGAGAAAAAGGAAGAGGACTCCAAGTGTACTTTTTTTTGTAAGAGAACCTGCAACTCTTCCATCCCAGGCCTAAGTAGGGCTCATCAGCCTAACTGCTGAGAAAACAGAGCCAAGAGCCAACTAAAATTCCATGTAGGGCAGCACTTGATTAATGCTTTGGCACTTGATATATCTAGGAGACATGCCCAGCTTCGTCTCTGTGCAAGAAGCCCAGATTTCATCAGGTGCTGCAAAGATGACAGGCTCAAATACCAGCCAAGAGATGTGCAACAGAACTGGCTGCCACTAATGGCCATTTGTCTTGATATTTTTATCACTAATCAGGGGCCTGCCCAGATAGTTTCTAATGGAATCTAGAGTAGCAGCTCTTCCCTTTTCTGAAAAACCCTTCATATCCCCTAAGGTTCTAAAGAAAGGTGCCAGATCATCAGCAAGTTCTATTTAGCACATCTAGGATTAATAGAGTCTAGCTGGCAAGTTGCTTCTCCCAACTTACAATTTTTGACCTGTGGGTCAAATTCCAATCATAGCCTATGCTTCTAATACAGATTTACTAGAAGTCAGACTCTGACTTGGCCTTTTGCCAGGCATGAAAGTCAGGATTAGGACCTAATCAGTCTACAAGAAGAATGGAACATTTTAAAGTAACCAGACAGATCTGTATTTCCATAACCAAGGCAGGCTCGAATTTAGCTACATACTCTGCATAGCTACAACCCAAATAGATATATCCTTTTTACTTATAAATATATTAAGCCTGCACTGGGTAGGAGCTAACCAGCCAACAATAAGAAATGAACAATATAAAAATAACCTCTCGTCACTAATGCATACCATTAAAATTTGTAATGTTTGTGAGAAGAAACAACAGGTTGATGGGGGGGGGGGACAGAGAGGGTCCACTTGGGGATGTACAATCAAAATAACATTTACAATTTATTCTGACATAAAGGAAAAACATGGAGCATGTAGGTAACCCCCGAAGGGACTGCCCAGATTGAGTCTGTACAAGATGCTTTTATAACTTATGTAAACATACACAATTTGAGGGGGAGTGGGGGGGATCAGGTGCAGGATCAGATCACCATAGACACATGAGAGTAAAATAGAGTTGAATGGATTAAGACACCATCTAAAAACATAAAAAGAAGCTCCAAGACAGACAAGCAGCGTGTTCCAAAGGAAGGCCTTTCCAGACAGGCATATTAGCATATCTAAGATGTACCCAGCAAGCAAGACTTACAACATGGATTCCTGGTCAGATTAGAAATCCTACCATAAGTCTAAAGCTGTTCTTATAGTGTCAGGCTTTTAGCAGCCATATTACGGCAGAGCTTTCACTCATTTTGTCCTGACATGCGTAACATCCTCAAGCAGGAAACCTAATGCTATCAATATCATGGTCACTGGCCGGAAAAAGCCACAGTCTGAAGAACCAAAACAGAGTATGGCAATGTTATGCATTATTCATAGTTTCAAGTTCTGATTTACTTTTCATACGAAGATAAACTGGGCAGAGTCTAGAGATTTCTGGCCATGATTTATAGTATTCAGGGTACAAGGTACACACATCACTCACAGGAGAAAATGATGCACAAAACAATGTGATAAATTATACATAATAGATTTGTGGAAACTGCCACTTTAAAGGTCAAAAATTTAGTTGTTCATAATGCAAGTATTACTATTATTATTGGTTGGGGGGGTTCAATTTTATTTATTTATTTGATTTATATCCTACCTTTTTCTTTTTTAAAGAACTCAGAGTGGCTTACATCATCCTTCTGCTGCTCTCAATGTTATCCCCAGAACAACAGCCCTGTGTGGGAGATTGGGCTGAGTGTCTGTGATTAGCCCAAAGTCGCCCAGTTGGCTCCATGGCTAAGTGCAGACTAGAAGTGTTCAGGTCACCCGAGCCCCAGTCCCACGCTCTTAACCACAAACACCACACTGACTCTCAGTTTAACCCCCTGTGCTATTGAACATCTACCTGAAACTGCCGAGGAAAGTTATCCAAAGGTATAGGCTGAGGTACCATCAGTATGCAGATAGCATTCAGCTCTACCTCCCTTTTTCATCAAAGCCAGGCAATGGCCACTCTGAATCATTGTCTGAACATAGTAATAGATTGGATGAGGGCCAACAAACTGGGACTCAATCCAGATGAGGCAAAGATGCTGTTACTGGGTGGTTCATCTGTCCAGCTAGGTGATATTCAACCTGCTCTGGATGGGGTTGCGCTACCCCTAAAGGGGAAGGTTCATAGTTTGGGGTTGCTCCTGGATCCAGAGCTTTCACTTGAGGCACAGAGCACCTTTTATCAGCTGAAGCTTGATATACTAACTATGACCCTATCTGGACATGGAAAGCCTAGCTACCATAATCCATATTCTGGTAATCTCTCATTTGCATTACTGCAAAGAGCTGCATGTGGGGCTGTCTTTGAAAATGGTCCTGTGACTGCAACTGATCAAAAACAGGGCAGCAAGACTTAATGGGGATTGGCTCATGTGCTCTTTCAGCTGCACTGGTGCAAGTTGAAGTCTGGGCCCAATTCAAAGTGCTAGTAGTAACATTCAAAGCCCTCAATGGCCTGGGGCCAGATTATATGAAGGAATGCCCCATCCCCTATGTGCCTACCCAGACCTTGAGATCATGTTTGGGGGTCCTTCTCCAGGAGCTGCCTCCAAAGGAAGGAAGGTGGGTTGCTACCAGAAGCGTCTTTTCAGTTGTGGCACCCCAGCTATGGAATGAGCTTCCCAAAAGGTGTGTCTGGTGCCTATTCCATATTCCTTTTGGTGCCAGGTGAAAACCTTTTTATTTTCCTAGTATTTTAGGGTTTAGATATATGCCTTCAATCTGGCACATCTTCAGAATTTACCTTCAGTTTAAATGGTGCCCTCGTGGATGAAAGCACATGGCAGAAAGGATTCTCCCTAGTTTAGCTTTATCTGTCAGTGCAGTTAGGACCAGATGATCAGCAAGCAATCATGTACAACAGCCAATGAAGGCAGCCACTTGATGAAAAAAGACATTTAATTTTTTAGCACAAGCCTTGCTAAAAGAAATTGATGCTCTGCAATAATTCCAAGATACCTGTAGCAGAATAGAAAGGATTGTTTTTAAAAAAAGATTAGAACAAACCAAGGATCCTCCCTGAACCAGCAAAAAGAACACTTTACTGAAAATTCACAGTGAGGAAATGCTTTTATTAGAATGAACCAGTATATTACAAAATAAGGTGTGAGCTTTCAAGTTCTCCAAAAATCTTCATCAAACTAGAAGTTACGAAAAAGCAGGGCATGTGGGGGTGGGGGAAGAAATGTCTTAAAATCTGGCCAGATGTTGTATCCATGAGGTCTGCAGTTTCGATAGACCCTGTCTTAAAATGAAGACTTGAAGTCTGAAAGGATTAGGCAATAATAGGTGTTGCAAGTATAACATTACACTTCGGAATGCATTTTGGGAGAAAGTTCCCAAGTGTTTCACCTGAACAAGAGGAAGATTAAAGTTATAGTCAGCCTTTGTGTTTTCAGAAGTGGAGACCAATTGCTCTTCTATCCTAAAATACTTTGCTAAGTGTAACCTGATACCTGCAACACTTACCACTGACTAATTCAATTAGACTGCAAATCTCTATTTTGAGACCTGGTCTATCTAAACTGCAAACCTCATCATAGTTGCGGAATTTTGGTAAGTCTTTATAAAGCTATTGCCTAACTGTGGATGGTGAGGTTTTTTTTTTTTGTTTCATGAACTAGCACAGCTGTGTCTTATTTTCTTAGTTTTAAAAACACTGTGTAAAAAAAAGGTTGCAAACGTCTGCAGCAAAACCAAAATATGATGGCAATTCAGCACAGTCTGAGGTGTTAACAGAGGTGGCTCAGTTCTGCACTGCTTGACCCAGTTCTGTTCAAGAAATACAAGAGGCAAGACAGCTGTGCAGGACTGGTACATGATTTGCCCTACAGTGAAACATTCTGTCTCCAACAGCAAACTTAAATGTCATTTTGAAAGCAAGACATGCCTTCTAAACAATCCCCCAATGACGAACACTTCACTTTCAACACACAAAGCAAAAAATAAGCAGCTCCAGCGTCTGTTCCCCCCAATTTTTCAGAAAACCAGCTTTTAGGCAAAGGTCTCTTTTACATGGTTTTAAAACTACCCACTAGCCACCAGTAAATCCCCCCCATAGTCGAATTATGCTTCTGAGAGCAGAGTGACAGCAGTGACAACCCTGTCACTCAAAGCTGAAACAAGAGGGCAAAGACCCTCTCTTGGAACCCTCCTCAGAGAGTGATGTATCACTCACACAACAGTGAAAATGGATAGCAAAATCAATGAATCCTAAAGATATGCAAATTTGCATATTACATATTGCTGGGGTACTGTTGCAGCTCAGTAGTAGAACTTCTACTCTGGATACAGAAGGTTCAGTGTCCAAATCCTAGTTCCTCCAGGCAGAGCTGGGAAAAACTCCAGTCTGAAACCCTCAAGAGCTTCTGCTAGTCAGTGTCTGGTAGCATTCTAAGCCTCCACAGTCAGTCCTATTATAGCTCCCTCAGTTTTCCTATGTCCACATATTTGTAATTAATATTGTGCTTGATCCTATGCACTCCACATCTGTGATAACCTAACTGCTAGATGAAGGCAACTTGATTGGGGGGCAGACTATTCATAACCCATCTATTTGCATGTCAAAAATACCCTTCTGGCCCCCAAACCACTGTCTAGGGAGCAGAATATCCACTGAGAGTACAAAAGTTGGTCATCCTGGCACTACATAATTCTGGAACTTTTAACAACTGAACATAGCATAAGCTGAGAGTCAGGCGACAAAGAGAATTGTCACACTGAACAAGTGATAGAGAAATGGACAAAGGCAGTAGGGGAGAAGCAAGATGGAAGATAGCTGACAGCTGGCTCGAGACCAATATGCCACAATATTCCACATACATGATACCCACTGTTTACTTTACGTTCAGACGGCACTGTTCAGTAAGCAGGCAGGTTTTCTGAATAGTTTGTCACAAGCATAGACTATGGTTCAGCATGTCACAATTCAATCCCTATCAGGAGGGTGTGTAATTTCTTGCATGCATGCCTCACTATTCATTAAAAATTTCAACATATTGCTTTCAACAGAAAGTCTGATTAAGTATTGCTTAGTTTAAAATAAATTTAATTGCCATCTGTAGAAGAGATCTATCACCTCAGAAATACTGGTTTCTAGAGCAGCTGCAAGAAGATTTTTGACAGAATCATGTTCTTGCTACACAATTAAAATGAAGACATGAAAAAATATGGTACAGAAAGAAGTAGTGTGCAAAAGAGGCCAACTTTTCTTTTACATTTCTTCTCATCTAAGAAAGCAATCCTATGGTCTCACAACATTGTTTGGGAGACCCTAGGATTACACATAGGCTCAGCTCCAAGATCCTGTGCTCTCCGAGCTGGAACTCCAAAGGCTGAGCCTCTACTCCTCCCTCCTTGAACCTGGCATGGCAAGAGCTTGTGCTGGCTGCCACCTCAAGATCACAACCAGGGGTGGGGAAGGGAGCAGACTGGGAGCATGGGATTATATTATGCTCTTCTGCAGGACAGCTAGATAAAACATATATATAAGATACAGCAGTGCCAAGTTGGGAGGATCTAAATGCATCCTAAAACTCAATATTTATTTCAGATTTGTACAGGTTAAATTCTACAGAGGATACACATAACACATTAATAAGAGCATGTGAGAATGGAAATATAGAGAAAACACACACACCACACATGCACACACTTGCATCAATTACCAGTTGTTTGCACAAACCAGCAGAACTTAACAACCAGGGAACTTAACAACCAGAGGGGAAAATGGAAATTTTATAACTATTTATAGCCTGATCCTGAATATTCTGACACTACATAAAACCCAATGCATCTCCTATTGCACACACTGAGAGGAGCTATGGATCTGAGAAGTATTTGCACACACAAAAATTCATACAGATCTAAGGGTGTTGATTTAACCAAGGCAGGTACAATAATCTCACAAATTGATAGAACTGGTGCATTAAGTGCATCAGTTCAAGCAAGTTCAACACCTACTAAGGAATAAACAATTATACATCTACTAATGACCATTTCAGGATGTGGATGCATGTGTGTATATCAATAAATTGAATCAATACCTGTACTGCAGAACACAGTTGTGCCAATGATGCATGGTGTTCAGTAAGCATGTGGACAGCATTTTCACACTCAAATGCTGTTTGGGCAGTGGGTAACTGAAGGCACAATATTGCTAAAGCCTGCAATCCATTATTCTTGCAAAACTATTTATCAATGCTGCTCAAAACTATTTATCAATGCTGCTTGAAAGGCAAAAGAATATGCTGACTTTCTAGAGAAAGTAATTCATAGTCATATTTCAGTAAGATCCCTTGACAACTCTTGGTTAACAGGAAGATCTATTGTACAACTATTCAGAGAACTTCCAGCCATCTTGAGTAGCCTCCCCCCCCAAACGTTTCAGACTACAACTTCAAATATTCCTGACCAGTACTTATTTTCTTGTGCTCATGGAAATTTGAATTCAAAACATCTGGAGGACATCAGGTTGGGGAAGTTTCAGGCCTTTTGTTCAGAACCCTGGTTCACAAGTAACAATAACCCAGCATATAGCTGAGTATGTTGTCAATGAATCATTGGTTATCATGTCTGAACTCTTATGTTATGCACGAAGTTGTGCCCAACCCATTGCGACCCTATAGACCACATTCCTCCAGGCCTTCCTGTCCTCCATCATCCCCAGGAGTCCACTTAAGCTCATACCAACTGCTTCAGTAACTCCATCTAGCCACCTCATCCTCTGCTGTCCCCTTCTTCTTTTGCCATCTATTGTTCCCAGCATTAGGCTCTTCTCCAGTGAGTCCTTCCTTCTCAATAGGTGGCCAAAGTATTTGAGTTTCACCTTCAGTATCTGGCCTTCTAAAGAGCAGTCAGGGTTGACTCTGAACTCTACTATGGTTTAAATACTGGTTGTTAACCATAAGCAACTCAGGAAAAGTACCCATGGCTTGTTGTTGGGATGTTTATTGCTTGATCTGGTTCACATAAAACCACTGTTGGGTTGTCAGGGATGCGTGGGTGCCTGTAGCACATCCACTTCATCCAGTTTACAGAATACCCCATGGTCAATCACTTGTAAACTGTGCAGTATAACCTGCAAACCCAAAATGCTGAGCTGCTTGGAAACAATGGTTTCCAAGTTCAGATGTCACAAAACAGCCCAGGAACAGGGAGATCACCACTTATTAATTGAAAACAGAAATGGCTCACATGCTATGCTCATCATTGCAATTTCTGGATTAAACAATTCAGGGATTGCTGCCACGACATATGAATCAAGTAAGAAAAACTAATCAATCCAATTAAACAATGCACTAACTGCAGCTTTCAAAAGGTGAATACTATGAACAGTGTGAAGGAGCAGTAAGTTTAATAATTGTTACATATTGGTATTAAATACTGCACAGCTAATTTAGGTAACATTGAAGGAATTTTTTTTCAAATGAGTTTTCTGCATTATTTAGTGAAAAGAAGGTTGACTAAACACAAGAACAGTAAGAAGAACCATAGTGAATCTGACCCAGGGACCATGAAGTCTAGCATTCTGCCCACAGTGGCAAACCAGCTGCCCATGGGAAATCTGGAAGCAGGACATGAGTGCAACAGCACCCTCAAAGAGGGCACAGTGGCAAGCTGACTAGAAAAGCTAAAAGTGCCAGACCCGTCCACTAAAGTCCTGTGGGTGACAACACAAAGCTCCAAAACTTATTCAATACTAGGAATATGCTATCAACCCCCCAAAATACTCAGGGTGATCTTGAAATGGAAGTTGAAATCAGGAAGGTCTCCAAGCAAGAAAATATGCTCAGATTTAAGGAAACAGTCCAATATTTTGATAATCAACAGGCTTGTCCTTCCATTTGTTAGAAAACTTTTACAAACAGCAGAGTGCACAAAGCAAGTGCACACTTGCATCATAGTGCGTATATCTTACTGTAAAAATACCAACCAACCGTGGGAGACAGCATTTCAGAATGAGGGTTGTACGTTGCAGATGTTAAAATTATCTCCGGAACTCGCTAGAATAAGGCGGTAATGCGTAAATACGGCCATTTGGGTGACTGTCTCCTCTGAGTCCTAATCAAAGTTCTCCGCCTTGCTCTTAATAATACTGCGATGTAACAGATTGGCCAGAATGCGGAACCTAGAGACTCTCGAAGCCATGCCAGGCATTTACCGGGAAGAAAGGTGCACGCAGTGGGCGCAAGGATCAGCTAGGGTGCTAACTCAGTGCCGTCTGACTACAATGACACTGTGCAGACAGACGAGCAACGCCTTGTCAGCAATGATGCCTCAGCGAGGAAGGCAGAGGGAGGCGCGTGAACTGCAGGATTTGCAAGCGGCTGCAGTGACAAGAGACGGTGTAGTGCTGAAACTTCCCAGGGCAAGGCGCGTGCTACATCCACGGGGTCTCGCCGCCTCTGCCAGGCGTCCCACTGGCAGGGAAAAACACAACCCTAAAGCTCCGGCCTCCTGCTTGCACATTCTGCAAAGAAGAAACGCTTCTAAAAGAGAGGCAAAGCGCTGGCCCAACTGAAAACAATGTTTTGCAATGCCTCCTTATTTTCATGTCTCATTAACTCCCCCCCCCTCCCTCGCGAGCGTGGGGATACTAAAAAACTAGGGTCAATCCGGGTACGGTAGGGAACCTATTTCAAAGAACTAGGCAAAACTCGATGCAGTGGGTTAACAGAACCCTTCTCTTTCCTACCCTTCCTATAGCAGCCCGGTGGGTTACTTACCAGACTTATCTTGCTGCCTCCTTCCTTTAGTTTCTGGGGTACGAACCGGTCGTAGGGCCTTTCCCCGCCAATTCGAGGACGCTCTGAGCTAACCGTTCGCTCTTATCTCCCCAAACACCTTTAGAGCCGCCATCCTTGTTACTGGCAAATAACCCGTTTTACTCTAGAGTACTATACGTCTGACTTCAGGCACAATTAAATGAGCGTGGCTTCGATTGGCTACATTGACTTAGATTTTCAGGGCTTTCGTTGTGGTAGGTTAGAGCCATTAAAGAGTGACGCTGTACTTCCGCCCTTCCAATCTCTCTCTACCCCTTGCAGATCGCAAACGCTCTAGCCTCCAGCGGCCTTTTGAGGGACTGAAACAGGAGTTGTTTGTTGATCATTGAAGCCAGCAATTTCCTTAGGGTACATCTCACATGGTTTAGCATAACCTCCAGCGGGCTGTCTCTCCGCTACTGAAATCGTTGCAAAAACTTTGCCTGTTACAAATTACATATTTTTCGCGCACAATTTCTCCAACCAGTTTGACATTCCATTATTATTTGTATTTGGTTTTGGTATCTATATACAGGAAATTATGTACCGGAAAATAAGTATTAGCATTATTATTAGTTCCCCATAATCAAACTGTAACTGTGTTGACTGTTTAGTTAATAATTAGGGAACAGAATTGTGGGGCATTTTATTTGGTCAGCACTGACTGATTCCTCCCCAAATTTAATGTGCTTATTGGCAAGTACAGAGGATGTTTGAAAATGCAGCAACTTAGGGCATTGTTTTACAGTTCCTTTCTTCTTCTTCTCTGATCAATAGCTCAGGGAAGTAACTGATACACTCTGTCACTGATTTGGAAGAACATAAAATGCTGATGGTGAAGTATCTTGAGGTCGTGTAGCGACCCACTGCAACATTTACAGCACCATCCTACTCATATTTCTTCAGGAATAAATCCCTCTGAATCAGTGTGATGACTTATAGATATTGTACATAGGACTGTATATCTTTAAACCTCTTAGAAATTATCCCATGAATTCCAGATTATAGTATTGCACTTTAAAACAGAATATATGTTCTACATTATAATGACAATCAAGAGATAAGTGCAAAGCACCATTAGTTACATACAGGGCAAATAATATTTTGGAGCATATAAATCAGAACAGCTTTATCCAGGAATGGGAAAATGTATGGTCCTAAGTGGAGCACATTGGAGCTCCTACAGCTCCTATCACTGGGTATGCTGACTAGGGTTGATTGGAGTTGCAGTCCAGCATCTGAGGTCCACATTCCCCAATCTGGCTGAAGCAAATGTATCATGTCACCCAGGAAGATAGATCCCCTGGACCTGCTACCAGTCCAACTTTCTGAAGAGACATTCGTTCCCTGCCTCCAGTATGAAAATCAATTAAACTGGCACAGACCATATTATACATTGTGTGTGTGCGTGGGAGGGGGGAATATTTTAACCATACTCATTTTGTCTTTGCCCCATTTGCCTTCACACCACCCTTCACTAAAATGAGGCCCCTTAGAACATCTCTGAACTTCACTTGAAAGGCTTCCTCATCCCTGCCTGAGCTGTGAGCCACTGCAGGTTCTTGCTTGCCTTGTGCAGTGCTGGTTTCTCTTGCTGTGTATCCTGACCTCTCCTTTCCCCCACTTGGCAAAAGTGTCTCCCTGCTACCCTTGTCTAATGGAAGGCAATATATGGTCTTTGCAGGACCGCTATTAGGGGAGCTGCATGCCCTCTTCTTTTTCCCTTTGAGTGATGTGCTCAAAAAAGGTGCTTGTGAGCTGTGTGTGGCATAAATAGCCTCTACTCCCACCATGTCAGCAATGCCTGGCAACTCACAGAAGTGGGGGTGGGGCGGTGGGGGGGGTGTCGCGGCTTGTTGCACAGGAGATCCTGGAAAAGGGTCTTGTAACAAGTTGCGTGTGGAGTGCTGCAGGGAGGTGTCCTGGGAATGTGTCCCCATCAGCATGAGTATACTGGCTCCCTCCAGGAGTAGGTAGTTTGTGGGTGTTGTCACCACAGTGACCTCTTCTCAGTCATGTTTCTGTGGATGCTGTGAGTGTTTCTGCTTGGTTTTGTCTTTTTCTGAGTTGCCTGTTCTGCCCTTCCTGGATCTTGTGGCTATTTCACCAGCATGTCAGAGGCTGCTCCCCATCCTATCCAGCAGCATAATTTCCATGTAATATCATTTGGTAATTTTTCTTCCAACTCGGAAATGGCTATCTGTGGTTGTACACTATAGCGCCAGTATAATTCCCCCCTGCCACACACACACCATTTTTATAGAAATCATTCTTTCTTACAATGATGATGCAAGAAATTTACCATTATTACATTCCTCTCCCAGGCTTCATTTTAAGGCTGGAGAAATGATATGTCTCTAACTCCAGGCCTTGATTGATGTTGGTCTCCCCACATGGCCCATTACAAGAAAGAGTCAGAAAAACAATGCCAGTTGATTTTTATCTTTTTAAGATCTGGAATCACAACATATTAGGGAACATGTTCCGGCTGTTCTGTCTTGAGTTTTGTACCAACAGTTTACTACGCAGGCATCAGAAACACATAAGAACTGTGTTAGATCAGACCAAGCGTCCATCTAGTGCAGTGTTGTTCACACAGCTGCCTATCAGCTGCCTACAGGAAACCCATAAGCAGGACATGAGCGCAACAGCAGCCCTCCCCCAGTGTGCTGTAACTGATGGGTCCGATTCAGATGATGCTAACTTGCAAAAATGTTAATATGTTGAAACCACAAAACAGATGCTTCTATGTCTCCAGATGTTGTTGGACTATATTTCTTATCATTGCTGACTATTGACCATACTGATTCGGGTTGACTGGAACTTAAATCCATCATCTGGAGGGCCATATCTTTCCCCACTCCTGTTATACATGGGCAGGTTTACCTGGGAGTAAGGTCTACTGAATTCAGAATAAGTTATTTCTGAGCTAAAATAGATAACATTTGACTGTTATCATAGAATAATAAGAGTTGGAAGGGGCCATGAAGGCCATCGGGTCTAGTCCCCTGCTGCTGCAGGACACCAATTTACACCATCCCACTCCAATGGCATATGTATATCCATATTAGTGCCCTCTTTCTCCCTATCTGTCTACAAGCCAGATGCATTTGTTTCACTACAGGAATATTGTTATGTGCTAAATGTGATCTATGAGAAAAACTCTCCCCAGTTCATTGATTGGAACATGAAAGATAATATTGAATGCAATAGATTGATGTGCTCCAAATATATTCAACTCCCATTACCCCAGCCAGCACTGGCCATTGGCCATTGGTATAAGGTTGGATCAGTCTGGAATCAGAATATACCTTTCTTGCATTTCAAAATGATCTTTTATAAACTTGCTGTGTTGGTGTTGGTAAAACATCATTTACGAATGCAGCAAAGGTGTATGTCCTGTTGCTTCAATAACTATCTCATTGTTATTTTACTTATGTTTGCCTAATTATCAGCATGTGAGATCCTTAGATGATGTTCCCATAAATATTGATATTCAATTCATATTCAATGGAAGACAAACATGTTTCCAAAGGCACCTATATCTTAAGTATATGCAATACTTAAGCTGTTTTCTACCTGCTGCAAGGCTACAATACGATTATAACTTTCATGTCAAATAGGTATCCTTACAGACAGGCCTTTTTTTTAACTTTTATATGCCAGCCCTTTTGTATAGCATCTCAGGATGGCTTACAGGACACTTCCAGGCAGACAATGCCTATGCTACCAGTCAGAAGATGCTGTGGAGCTGTTCCATCTTTCTGTCCTTAACTCAGGAGGACAGAACTTCAGGACAACCCAATCCAGCCTGTGTCGCCCCTCTGGGTTCCTCCAAGGGGAGGGGTTTAGTTCTACGGCCTGCCTGCCAGAGGACTCCTCTACTGGTGAGCATTCCTGCTGCTATCTCAGATCCCAGGTGTGTTCTCCCCACCACAAGGAAGTCAGACCCAAGCCTGACATCCTCACTGCTATTAATTAAGTACACACCAGTCCCGGTAATTTTAAAATGTAACCGGATCCTTGTATCTCCCCCCACACACACACTTTTTTTTTTTTTTGCTATGTCCACTATATTTCTAGGATAACCTTCTGTCCTACTTTAGAGAGGTCAGTGTTCTCTGTTTGAAGGGCTGTCCAGTCCAACTGAAGTTTCAAGAAAAAGAACCATAAGCTGGGAAAACAGTGAGGAACCCGAAACTGCCCAGCTACAGTTGTTAGCACCTGGGCAGTAACCAGAGCAGGCACACTGATCTCTTGATCACAGTACATGTGAAACAGTATATACAACATTGCAAATGTTATACAAATCTGTGCTCTCTTTGGTTCACTTTTTTGTCATGCTTTTCCTTTTCTTTTGAGAACACGTGAGTGGCCACCCTATTTATTTGTCTTGCCTGGTGTGCTCAAGTCACAAATTTCTTCCTATATGTTCTCTGTAATTCAAACATGAAAGCTTTTGCATTAAAAAGAGTTTTGGGGACCATATGAATGAGGATAGTGAAAAGTAAGGAAGGATTATGGGATTTGTGGAACAAAAGCAGGCGTCATAGATGTAGGAAGAGAACATTGGTGAGAAACATGACATGTGTGGTGTAAGAACGCTAACTTGGCCACCAGAAGCCATTACCACAGCATCTGTGGAATGCAATTCAAAAGTGCTTGGCTTTATGTTTTGATCTGTTTTAAGAGATAAGAATGCCTTATCTTAAATGACCGGTGCAAAGAAATAGAAGAAAACAATAGAATAGGGAGGACCAGAGATCTCTTCAAGAAAATTGGAGATATGAAGGGAACGTTTCATGCAAAGATGGGCATGATAAAGAACCAAAATGGCAGGGACCTAACAGAGGCAGAAGAGATTAAGAAGAGGTGGCAAGATCTGTGTAAACGATACAAGAAAGAGCTTAACATCCCTGATAACCACAATGGGGTGGTCACTGACCTTGAGCCAGACATCCTGGAATGTGAAGTCAAATGGGCCTTAGGAAGTCTGAGCAAAAACAAAGCTAGTGGAGCTGAGCTATTCAAAATCTTAAAAGATGTTGCAGTAAAAGTGCTACACTCAATATGCCAGCAAATTTGGAAAACTCAACAG